TAAAAACAAACAAGCAAAAGTTGTTGGCATGTTAAGGTCCATTAATAGAAATTTTCAGGAAATCACATGAATAAGGACAAATACAAATCCTGATCCACTGATGTTTTGGTCCACTTGTTCTCACTGACTGTTTAGTTTTTAGACTGTCTGTACATGATGTCAATTTTAATTCATAGGTCTTCAGTGTAGGATGCTGTCCATCCTTCATGCGCACCAGCGAGTATTCTAAACAGCAATAACTGTACATTTACAGGAATCCATTTCTATGACAAGAGGCTATGCCTGTAACAAAAGCATAGGAGAATCAACAGATAAGGAAGATAGCATTGTTAAAAATCACTTTTGACTATGGCCATTTTCCTTCCTTGAGTCCAGAATTTTCCCATAAAGGGTCAATGCTACAATGTGTTCTGTAACTATATGTTGAGAATATTCTTATGAGGCAAGATAATACACGTTGGGCTAGAGAGATGGCTCAGCAATTAAGAGAGCTTGTTGCTCTTGCAGTGGACCTGGGATCAGTACCCAGCACCCAGATGGTGGCTTACAACCATGCTACTCCAGTTCCAGGGAATACAATGCTCTTCCCCCGCTCTGGTCTCTGTGGGCATTGCTATCACATGGTGCACTCACATACATGCAGGCAAAACACTCATATGCATAAAATAAAAATAAAGTGAATTTTAAAAATACACCATCATTTTTAGTTGAATGGTATAAAGTTGAATAGGATTGTTACAGTAGTGTTACATTTTAAAAGGTATCTGAGAAATCCATGTGAAATTCCTACTCTTTTCATTATACTGTTCTGTTTTCCTAGTGATAGAAAATGCTAAAAGATGCTAATGCTTGTAATCCCAGTGCTTGGGAGGCTGAGGCAGGAGGATTGCTGCAAGTTGGGGTCAGCCTGGGCTACTGAGACCTCATCTCAAAACTCCAAAGGTGGACGGAGGGGAGGGAGAGGGAGAACATAATTATCTACAATGAGCAAACGGAAACCTAACCAGAAAAAAGAAAAAAAAAAAAAAAAAAAGCCTTTTGAAGTGACTCTGAGAAGTAGCCAAGTGCATGGTAAATGCACTGAGTTATCAAATGTATTCAGCACACTGATGTCTGACAGTAAGCTAGGACATCTTTCATCACATATGAACAAGGCACTTTATATGTGCTTCTCACTGTGTGGCACACTCTGCTGGGATGACAAAGGGTAAGGAGGAGAGCTGGAGGGAAGGTTCATTCTTTCTTTTGGTAGCTTTAGTTTTGTTTCCCATACAAAATTTCCTCTACCTCAGAGGGTAAGCAGGTGAGAACTAGGTCAAGGACAGATTCAAGACCTGAGTATAGTTTGGACTCTGGAGATTGAATGGGAAACAGTCTTCAAAATCTCAGAGATTTCTAGACTTCTAGGATAAGAAGCAGGCAGCTCAACTATATAAAGACAGACCACTTTGGTCACAATTTACAGGAAAACAATTCTGCAGAAATTTAAGAGATTGTCTTTGCACCTGAAAATTAAAATTAGGTCATAAAGGGGAATATTGGAGTCAATAAGATTTGAAGGCAGGGTGGGATGCAGAGTATGAGAAGCCATAAGATGTCTCGCTTGCGTGCTGCCCCTTCCTGTGTTCTCCATTTGTGAGTGTATTGGCTACAAACTATGTACCTTCCCACCTTGTTTCTAAAGGTGGCACCTGTCTCATCCTGCCAGCATCTTGCCAAGTTCCTGGATGGTGGGTGTCCAAGCTGAAAGGCTGAATCTGCAGTCTTCACCCTGGGCTCTCCTCAAGCTTACTCATCTTTCTGTTCCCAGCTATGATGAAATATCACAAGGGGACAGCTTGGCTTCCTGGCTGTGCAGCTACCAAGGGGTTAGATGCTATAACCCGGAAGTGCAGGAAAGTCCGAATCCTCAGGTAGAATCTTGACTAATGGCGAATGGGATACAGTAGGCAACCAAATTCCCTCTTTGATTTCCCTGTGCACTGTTCTGAGATACTATGTCTCCATGAAGCAGTACCGCGGGCTGAGCTCATAGGCCTCCGTCAAGCGATTACTCATTGTGATGTGGTGGCCAGCACGGTAACACATCACCCCCTCACGCCATGTGGTTCCTGCCTGCTTCCCCTATTTCTTCACCTGTACCTCCTGGTCTTGTGCTAAGTAGCCCACTTTTCTAAAACAGAACTATGACAATGAGACCGATTTTGTTGGTGTTGTGTACTTTCCTTTGCCCTGTAGGAGTTACTCTCCACTTTTCTCTACATGCCCTCTGCCCTGGGAGGCTATTGAACTTCACCTCCACTCTTACTCTCTGGCCATCAGTTGGATCCAGCCAACTGGGGGCCCTGGAGGGATGGGGGTGCAGGAATTGGAGGGAGAAAGTGTCCTGGCTCCTTCCCTATGAGAGGTCACCTAGGGCTACTGTATCCTTCTGGTGAAATGAAACTCACAGCCAGGGTTCTTTTCTACCTATTCATGGTTTCTGAGCACAGCTTCTTCCTCCCATCCCTTTGACACAGCCACCCTAGGGCTATCACAGTTTCCTTTAAAGCTTCTCTACTCTTAGCCCATTCCTTTGTAATTAGTATCTTAATAAATAAACCCTGTTGGGTTGTTCCCATTTGAGAGTGCCATCTGTTTCCTGTTGAGACCAAGAGTGTAAAGGAATGGATAAATGACAGCACAGGTTTATCTATGCTGGAATAGTGAGAAACCATTACAAATCAGTTAGTGTTTGGGAGGAAAAGAAAGGGATAAACTAGGGTTGGTTTTTTGTTTCTTCTTTTTATCGCATAAAATGTCTAGCAGTCCGAGTTCTGGTGGGAAACAGAATTCTATTCCTCCAGATGCTTAAATGAGGAAACCATCTATGAAAGTGGCAGAGACAGGCAATCAATACGGTGAAGCACTAGGGTTATGAAAGCAGGAAAGCCACCCCTTCTGCTGAAGGAATAAAAGGACAAAACAGTATTCCAACCCCAGAACCCAGTAAGAAGCCCTGGGGACTTCATTTGCCAGGGGACACTGGCCCTGCTGGAGTCTCAGTGTGCTGTTCAGCTGAAGTAGGGAAAGTAAGCTCTGCTTGTCCCTCCTGCTGATTACCTTCTCTCTGCTCCTCAGTGGGTACTTCTCATTGGCTCAACCCAGCTGGGAATTAGAATGATGTGGCTTATGTCAGAGTGGGGCTAGAAAGCACAGAGGATGGATTTGAATTGATCGAGTGGAGAGAGAAACCCACAGTGACCAGTGCAATCAGGATTTCAGATTTCATGCAAATACAATTCTAATTTTGCCAAAAGTGATAAGAACTGATGAGCTGGATATTTAAAGTAGCCATCTCATGGTAGTAGAAGATAAGTGGTTTTATTTTTCATAGTGTTTGAAAATCAAAAATGACTATTATGCCTTTAAATTATATTAAAGAAGTGCTAACTGGAGATGTGTTTAATTTTCATTTTTAAAGGGAAAATTCCTCATGGTAGGTTTTCACTTCCTGAACTTGCCAAGAAGGAAGACTGCATCTAGAAGGAAGTTCAGGCCAAATGAAAAAATATGGGGCTGCTTGTTTGTCTCCCTAAGCACTAGTTTGTCACATATCATTCTGATGGGTGATGATAATTTGATGGGAGTCAGACTGAATCCCAGCTCTCATTCTATCAATAGCTCTGGAAATCCACACTCAGCTGTTACCTTTGTTTCACCACAAGGCTGATATGTGAGATTCACATTCTCAAAATGTCTTATCCTAGAGTTCAATGTCAGCAGAAGACATTAACTTCATAAAAACAGACAACTTTAAAATCCTTTCAGTGTAACAAAAAAGTAGCAAGCATCACTTAGATTACATTTGTGTCCAAAAATATTTCTGATTTTTCAGTTGCTTCAGGTCTTTCCTGTTTAAACTTGAACTACAAAGGGAAGCAAGATGGAGGGGACTGGTGACATGGCCTGTGTCTGCAGTGACCCAGAGGCTTCCACACTCTGACTTCTATTCTTAGCACTGTCCTCCGGCTCCTTGTCAGCTCACATTCAGTGCCTCCTGAAAGGAAAACAGTTACTTCCGCCCCAGAAATATTTGGAATGTACAGAATGAGATAGCAAATACTTGGAATGCCTCTGAGCAGCTGTTGATGGCGATATTTCTAATGTGAATTCTAATTTCTACCGCCTCAACCTTGGGTCAGAGCAGCAGTTCTGGAAAATAGAAACACCAGTCATGAGATGTGCTGTGTAAATGCAGACAGAGGGCTGAGCTGTGTGAGCTCAGGTGTCCTCACTGGCCACCAAGCTATTTAAAGCTAAAGATCAGCAGAGATGGCAGATGCATGACAACTTTGCCATCTTCTGAAGTCTAAAAATTTAAATTGCTTTGAAATAGCAAGGATTAAAACTTACTGATTGGGTCATTCAATGCTTTAGTTTCCCAAATTTAATTTTTGAGAGTGTATACAGCAGGTGTTAACAATTATCAGTATTTTACAAATATCCACAGAACATATACTAACTCCAGATAGGACTCACTTTAACTTTGGAAAACTGAGTGAGGTTCATAGCTGAACTTTTAAAAAGTAGGGTATCTGAGAAATTCCACTGAGGTTTAGGGCAATAGTAACTAGAGTAAATCATCGATTTTAGACCCAGTTCCCAAGCATTATATTCTAACCTTCCAACTCTAAAGTTACAAATCTCCTCTTTAATTAAAATACACATAAAATAAAAGCTTATCATGTGAAGAGAGAATTCTTTTTAGCAACATAAAAGGTTATAATAAGATGGATAAGAATTTGAGTGTGGCTGACTTGCTATGCATTATACAAACGGCCTCTCTGGAGTTTTGCAATCACCAAAAAACAATGCTAAGTGCTCTCAAGTACTAAATATAGTCTGCTAGTTTTTTCAATGATTTCATTATAAAAATAGCATTGGGTTGAAATGCACAAACACATTGAACAATTCTCCTTTCTGCCTATGAATAATAAAGACAACCTCCACATACCAGGAACTATGTATATATTTTTAATCTTCATAAAAGCCACAGCAAATCATCTCAAACGTGGGTAGCAAAACATTCTCAGGTGTCACTGATTATCATCTTCGGTGGTATGAACAGGAACCGATACAGTTTCACTTGGTTCCAAGTGGATCCTTTACTTCCACCACCAAAATTCCATCGTGACAGAGGATGGCAGACAAATCTTTGGTTTCAACGCCATCTGGCAGTTTGTACTGTCTGGTGAAGCTCCGGGAGATAAACCCATGCTCGTCCATTCTGGTTCCATGTTGAGCCTTGATCAGCAGCCAGCCCTCGAACGTCTGGATGATGATGTCCTCCGGCAGGAACTGCACCACGTCCAGCAGGATCTGGAAGCGGGATTCGCCTTCTTGGGGCAGCGTCTCTGCGGTGGCTGAGTCCCCTGCAGGGGCCCGCGGCATCCCCCTTGCTTTCCTCAGGTCCACGATGGTTGGTCCCGGCAATGCGTATAAAGCATGATCCAGCCTGCAGTCTTCCAAGCCTCGAGCTTCAAACTCCTCCTGGTAACGCACTGGAGTCTCTATGAGGTGCCTCAAAATGATTTTTGCCATAGCAGAGGCAACCCCAGCTTTCAGCTGCTTCCCTTCTGTGAGTGGCCAGGCCCTGGCCTTGCCTGCCGATTCCCAGTCCAGCAGCTTCGTTTATAGCCCTGCACAGACAGCAGCTTATTTGGGCCTGCATCAGACCAGCACACTCTTGTCTTTTCACACACGCTGACAATGAATGGCTATTTATAGCGTGCCTTTCGGAGTTGCATTTAGCACACAGCCTGCACAAGCCGGCCAGGCAAGGATTGCTCTTACGTACTTGGTTAGCCCTGACAGACCCGCCTGCCTCACTCACCCCAAGAGAAAGAGAAATCCGGGAGCAGAAGCAGCACTTAAGATACCCAGGTGAGTGATTTCACCCCTGAACCTGAGGTATGTGCTTATCCCAAGGTCTGAGCTAGCACAGCCTCTCCTCTGTCTCCAGAGCCAAAGCAAGGGGAGAAGATTCTAGCTGTAATTTATCAGGAATAAAGACACATACTATAAACCTCAAATACCCAGTAAACTCAGCCCACATCCTGTATCTCTCCCTTTATCTTTTACTCTTTTGTGCTTAAGGAACATCTGCGCTACCTAGTTTGGTTTTTATATATTTGACCCATGAAAATAAGATCAGGTGACTAGTTAGATGAGTATGAAACTTCAGATGGGTAGAGAAATTCAGGGCCAGGAATCTTAGTGAGGAAAGTAGAGCCACAGCAGAGAGAAAAATGTCAAAGCTTTCAGCGTTTTCATATGACAGTCTAGAAAACCAAGGATTAATCTAGTCAAAACTGCTATTGAACAGGCAAAAATAAATTACATGTCATTTCTCAACTACAGCAACCTTTATATTAACCTTCCATTGAAAAGGAATGAGGCAATGCTAGCCAAGATCTTGAGGCTATGTTAAGTAAAACAAAGTCTGCATTCGGTCAAGTACCCTGCCCCTGAACTACAGAGTCCAACTCTTTGTCCTACAGCCTACGTTCAAGGGTCAAGCTTTATAACCTCGAGATTGAACTTCTGCCCTAAAATAACTCTACCCTTGGTACGTCAAAGATAGCCTAAATTGATTATATTATTTTTATTTTCCTAAGCTCTCCAGCATTTGACGTAAGCCTCTCAGCAAGAAAAAAGGCAATAGCTGTTTGTTTTTAACCCTCTTAAAGAGTGACAAGTAGAGTCTTCTCAGATCTTCTTTCCTGAATTCTCAGTGGAAGCCATATTGCTTCAAGGGGAGGTTGCTTTTTATGGAAAGAGAGGGGGAGAGAGACAGATAGAGATGAAGAGAGAAAAAGAGATTATATAAAATCTCAGATACTGTACAATTGCATAATGGTTTATGACTCTCTAAAAGGCCATAGGACACAAACAGATGTGAAGTATATCTATGGCATTAAGTTTTAATGGGGGAAATGAAGGGTAAATTAGATGGGAAATAACTAAAAATATTTCTAGAAGTGGGGGCAATGATAGAATAATTAGAAGATGAGAACACTTGTATAATCTTCATTGTTAATTGCTTTTCAAGGTTTCCATGGCACAGTGGCTCATTTGGGAGAGGCTAATAACAAATGGTCTTGGAGTCTGAGAAAGTTTTCTAGAAAGAGCCACAGATTAGCTTGAATCAGGAAGATACAGAATAGACCAAATGAAGCTTTGGGCAGAGGAGGGAGGCAGGATGTTTGAGTGTCCGGGTAATGGCATGTTCAAGGTTCTTGAGCCAAAAGAACATCATGATTACAGAAGGCAAAAGAGTCTTCGTATGACCACAGTGCAGAATAGAAAACAGGAGCTGGGACAGTTTAGGTTAGAGAAGTAAGCAGGAGCCAAACAAACCTTTATCATTGTTGTTGAGGCAAAATAGCACTTTTAAAGTTGTTTGGTTAGTTGTTAGGAAGTTAGGAGAATTCCAGTTTTAAGTAAAAGACTATTCTTCACCTCTTCATAATCAAAGGGCCCTTTGAAGTATTATTTTTCCAGATAAAATTTAGATTCTAGTCTAGCACCAAGGAGCTAACTCAAATCGCTGCCTTTTTTAAATTTTTCTGACATCTACTATAAGAAATATACCTGTCACCATAGCCTAGTAAGCATACATAACACATCTGTTATAGAAAAGTTAGCTTTGCTGCACAGATGCCCTCTAATGATACAACCCACTGACTTGATTTCATGACCCCAGACTGGTCACAATGATAGTTTGTAAAACACCTACTATTGGGTAGGGTAGTTTATCATCTTTGGGTAAATTTCACCTCTGCATAATTTAATGTTTGGTTTTATTTTTCTTCTGTAGCTATGATGTGACTTCGAGCAGGTAGAGGAAGAATCCGTGCAGTAGGAGAGAGCTGCATGGCTCAAGTTAAACCCTGATTTTTCAGGAAGTTCTCACTGTATACATATTACAGTTTTAAGGAACTTAGGTGAAAAGGGATAGAAAAAGTTAATTAGGGGTTAACATAAGCTCTCAAAGTTGTTTTAGTTTCATTGACATCATTTAAAAAATTGACCATTGGTCTGCTTGAAAGAATGAGTTAGCAAGAGATCCTGATAGAACTTGGTGGATGGACTATGAGACCTACACAACCAAAACTCTGTTTCAAATATTTCTTTTAAAACACAACAACTGCCTCAAGTTACTCATCGGTAAGGTTTTGCTCCACACTGGAGCCCAGTGTCAAGAAAGCCTAAGGGGAATTCAGGAAGGGGTCGTTCTGTGTATTGTACATATCTGAGCAAAGGCTCTGCTAGCTGCAGACAAGAAAAAGATAAAAATAGCAATCAAGTAAGAGCACAGGTATATGCCTAAGGGTGTCCGAAAACATACATAGAGAGATTTGATTGGTTCATGCTGCTGGCCTGTAGGCTTCACTTTAGATGGGAGTCACAATAAACATTAAACACACTTTCAAGAGAGTTTGAAAAGATGAAGAGAGTTATCTTCCTGAAACCCTGCTATGACTATATCATCCCTCCCCAGATCAAATACATTCATCAGTTCTTAGCTTCCTCATATAAAAACCATTATACAATCTGTTTTGACAATACTTTCTAAATCCCCATTTTTAGTATTTCCCCTTTTTAGGTTCTAAATTCTTTTGTATACTAAAAACTCCATGGCTGGGGCTGGGTAGATGGTTCATGTGTAAGAGTGCTTGCTATGCATGCATGAAGACTTTTGCTTGGATTCCCAGCACTCATGTAAAAATTCAGGCATGTCTCCAAGTGCCTTTAACCCCAGAACACTGGGGAGCAGAGACATGAAGATTGCTGGGGCTCCCTGGCCCAGTCATCCTAACCAAAGAAACTGAGCTCCAGGTTCAGTGAAGAGCCTGTCTCAAGGGAAATAAGGCAGAGGACAATAGATGAAGGCATCTGACATCTTTCTCTGACCTCTGTATGTATACACACAGGCATGCATACATGTACACACACACATAAACACACACACACACACCCACACACACACACACACAAACACACACACACACACCCACACACACACACACACAAACACACACACACACACCCACACACACACACACACGATCTTTAGAGCTTAGAAGATAGTACATCCAGAAAGTGCTTGCCATGTAAGAAAGTTTAAGGGCCTGAGTTCAAATACAAAAAAAAAAAAAAAAAAAAAAAAATGCTGAGCATTATGGCATTGACTTGTAATCACAGTGCTGGTAAGATGGAAATAAGCAGAGCCCTGGGTTCACTGACTGGTCTAGCCTAATTGGAGCGCTCAAGGTCAATGAGGAACTCTGTTCAATATATACATATACAATATAAAAAGAGTTCACATGTAGTTACTCTACAACAGGGGTTCAGTGTGCCCCTGATAGACACCATAGGTTAGCAAACAAAAATCCAAAAATCCCAGTGCCAGAAATGGGCTCCCTTTTTTGGAATTGTTGACCAAAGAGACACTCAAACAATACTGGCTATTGCCATTACACTTTGGTTACACTCTCCCTCCCCATAGCTTGATGGTAAGACACCATTGCTGAAGACACTACATACCTGAGTCACAAAACAAAGAGAAATCAAGCTTCATCTCTACTGGCTAGTTTTTATAGTACTAGCAGGTGCTATGCATGTTACTGGCAGAGAAAGGTAATCACCAGCCTTACTTAGCTGTGAATCCTGAAAGCTACAATAACAACTGACTTGACAAAATATGCCCATTGGTGCAATAGTGGCATGAATGCTATAGGAATAAGCAACCTCCTTCTAATTGGTGGCCTGCTTCCCAATAGGGAGTCCATACCTGACATTGTTATCAGGGCCAAAAATCTGTGGCTGGACAGGTCACAGGCCATAGAGGAGAGCCTACTACTATTAATCTTGTAAATAGCATTAAATCTATAGTATTAATAGTATTAATCTTGCTTAATAGTATTAAACTGACTCACAACTTGTACCTATAGACTAGTGCATCTCTAAAATCTCATCAGAGAAGTTTCTTCTTGCCACGATGGAAATTAACACAAAGACCCACAACTGGTCAGAGTGCAAAGAATAAGATATTTTGGAGCACTTAACCCTAAATGGGATACCTATATCGCCCTCTACTCCCAAGGCTCAGGGATCATTGCTGAAAAGGAGTGGGGGAGATTTTAAGAGTCAGAGGTAGTAGATGGATAGAAGGAAAGTGTGATGTCTGGGCACCACAGGGTAGTTACACATATGAACCCCGAACTCTTATGACAGCATGCACAAGACCTAAACAAACCTAAACCAGACAGGGACCCAGCATGGGTGCGGGAGGTGGGCAGGAAGCCAGAGTCACAGCTAAGGCTGTATTAGCAATTGATAGATGCTGAGAGAGAGAGAGAAAAAAAGTCAGTTTTCTTTACTGATGTGATGCCAGGTAGTTGTCCAAACTCCAAGGAATATACATTTAGGAAACAAAGTTTACACTCCATAGGCCTTCCATTAAAAAAAAAAAAAAAAAAAAAAAAAAAAAAAAAAAAAAAAAAGACAAGCAGACATGGTGGAGAACGTCTTTAATCCCAGGACTCTGGAGGTAGAGGCAAGCAGATCTCTGTGAGATCAAGACCAGCCTGGTCTACATGAGTTCTAGGCCAGCTGGAGCTATTGGGAGACT